TACAGATTAAAATAGTGTTCACCAAAGTACTTTAAAAAACATGTTTTCTTAAAGATAAATCAAATGTTAAGTATTTCTGGAATTTTAAAAACAATAAAATACTTATTTGTCATTACAATTTGTTTAAATAACAAATCCAAAAAATTTAAAATGAAATTATTATTAATAAAGAAGAAATATAATGGTTATTGAAGTACTTTAAAAAACATATTTTTCAAAAGTTAAAAAATGTCCAATACATTTAAAATAAAAAGTAAATACCAATTTGACATTTAAATTTGTTCAAACAACAAACCCAAATATTATTATAAAATATTTTATAATAATTTAAAGTTAAAATATCAAGTTTTTTATATAATCATTTAAAGGGGATTATTTTTGAATCAAATATTACATTTCAACAATTCGTTTGTTTTCATTTTCATATAAGAAGATATAAACGAGCTCCGAATATTGATATTATGTTTGGGATTTAAAGTTATTTTATTCTTTATAAATGAAAAAAACTTAATAATTAAACAATGAAATTATCATATTTGTTATTAATTTGTTTATTTATCAAAACTTCGTTTTCTCAAGACCCCATTCTTTCTCAATCAATTCAAACTTTGTTGAGAGATTTATACAACCATTTGGATGTATTTCTTGGTGGTTTTGTAATGTTTAAAATGAGATCTTTACATAATCCATTTTTCAGAACATTACAAGAAAGGTATCAAAGTATAATTGATTATGAAACAAGGTCCAAAGATTTATTATTCCAATGTATTCAATTCGAGAAATGTACTTTGGACGGACTTCAGAGTTGGTTTATTCATTTAAAGAATATCGATAATAATCCAGCCTACGACAATTACATTGAAAAAACGACAAAATTGCATCAATTCGTTTCCGAGGTAAAATCAAAATGGGGGCTGGCAGATAATATCAGAGAGGAGACCATAAAAGTTATATATTCCCCACTATTAATGCTTTCTCGGTATCACTCCTTATTTTTTATTTTACACCAAAATAAAGAATTTACAGAAAATATGTTTTTCGTTGATGCAAAAGCAAAGAATGAACATTTGCTTAAGTTCATTAATGATAATGTTATACACCCTGGAAGGCCTTATATTCCAACACAAACACCAAGACGTAGAATTCCCTCTCACCAAGGAGCTGCAGCTCCATAATTTATTCTTATTTATTATTTTATTTTTCTCAAGTCGAAAATAACAATAATAAAGCGAGTAAAAAACCACCTTTTCAAATTTTAACAAATATTTTAGTTTCAATACAATTTTTTATCTAAAAATTCAATGATGAAGCTTCTTTTTCTGATATTATCAACGTTCATTATCAACGTTTCAAGTCAAGAACCCACTTCAATACTATCACAAGATGTACACATTTTGTTAAGAGAATTTTGTTCGAAGTTGGAATTGTTTCTTAAAGGATTTGCCAAAATCAAAAGATTGGGAAATACAAACGAGTATTTTGAAAAGATGTTTAGAAGCTATCTCAGTATTATCGATTTTGAAAATTATTCAAGAGACTATCTTTTTGATTGCATTCGTACAAATAAGTGTACAATGGATAAACTCAATTTGTGGTTGAATCATATTAAACACATTGATAGGCGAGTTGCTTATGATAACTATATCGAAAAAACAACAAAAATGCACGACTTTATTAATGATTTAAAAACACATTATACAATCAATGAACATATAAAACAAGAAACAATTAAAACTCTTTATTCTCCACTTTTGATGCTTTCGAGGTATAATTCGTTATTTTTCATTCTAACACAAAACGATGATTTCAATGAAAACTCACTATTATCAGAAGCAAATTCAAAAATTACAATTTTACTCAAAACAATAAATGAACGAGCTGTTCATCCGGGATCACCCTATGTTCCAAGTAGAAGAACACCAAGAAGAAACAGTCGCGAGTAATTATTTTTTGAGACTTTCGTTTTCAAATTAAGGTTGTATACTTTAATACATGTTTATTGTTAAACAATCTAATTATTAACTAAAACAAATACTATAATTTATTACTTGTTTTGAATTTAAATATGCAAAATAATAATGAAAACGATAACTTTAACTTATTAAAGTAAAGAACATTGTTGCAACTTTTTGAAGTAAACAAATATCAATTTAATTTATATTTTTATTATACATTTGAATATAACACATTTTGAGGTTAATATTGTTAAGTGATTTTGAAAAACACTAATTAACATTAAAGAACCCATAGTTTTTAAAGATAATAATAATAATGAATATATTATTAAAGTTGCCTATTAAATTGAAAAATATAACATAACCATTCAGCCTTTCAATCTTTAAATTTTCATTTTATCATGTTGCTAACTGTTCTATTCTTTGTTGTTTTTCTGGTCCAAAGCACACAGGGTAATGATAACCGTCCAATATCAGAATCTCTACAGAAACAAATTAGTGATTTCTTGGAACAACTCAATAGATTCTTAGGAGGTTTTATTTGGATGAAAACATTATTCACACAACAAGAGTTGGATAATATTGGGTTTCAAGACTTTGAAGTTGTGTTTTCACATGAAAGTTCTTTAAGAAATATGATTGAGACTTGTATTATACATAAAAGATGCACCCCATTAGACTTGATCAATTGGTTCAACTTACTTGCGACGATAGACAACAAAGATGTATTTGAAAGTTACATCCGTTGTACTTCAAATATGAATGAGTTCATTAAAAAAAATGAAAAGAGTGAAAAGAGTTCAACAACGAGTAAAAGAGGACGCATCTTTGGTACTTGCTTCTCCTCTTTCTCTTTTAAATAAATACAAGCACTTGTTCTATATAATGAGTTACCAACCAGAAGTCATGCAAAAAATGCCGTTTTTAAATGCCAAATTCAAAATTGAACATCTTATTCGAAAAATCGCAGAAAATGTTGTTATACCAGACGCAAATTATCGTAGTTCACCAGGAGAAAGAAATCGTTTGCCTTCAGTGGAAAATGAAGAACCCCAACAAAGAGGAGGATTTTCATTCTTTGGTAGATTACGTCGTGGATACAGACGATTCAGATAATCATTCAATTGATTTGTTACAACAAATTGATTTTTAATAACATTTGTATAAACAATTCTAAGTGTAAATAATTATCATAAAAACTCGTTTTTGTTCAAACTTCCAATTTTTAGTGATTGTTTACATATAAACTGGTCAAATTTGATAT